CTGTCTAGGCAGTCAGCTTAAATGGAGTTCAGAGACCGTCAATACATCCAGACTAGTATTTGCAATCTGGAATTGATTTAAGGGCATTTTTATCCTTCGCACAATAATAATAATAAAAAAAACAGTGTGTCAAACAAACATTTTGCAACTGCTATAACAAACAAAATGATGGCTATTATATCTATCTATCTAATTTGGAAAGCCATTTACATCTGATGCATCATAAATCTGCACAAAACATAACCTATTGATTTATCCTCTAAAATAAAAATGGCAAATTCTACGTTTATTAGCAGATTCGTTTAGCAAATTCTATGTTTGACGTTTTTTTTTAACAAACAACGAAATTCTCTCGCTCTCTTAAAATAAATCTCTTTGTCGCCAATTTCAAATATTTTGGGCATTTTTGCGCCAATCCTTAGTTTAGTTTTGATTTTGGTCCCAACACATGTACAAAGGAATGACGTATTCTTTTCCCAATCGACCAACCCCTCCTTACAGCATCGCACAATGATGCGGCACTTTAAAAACTGGGATTAACGAGACTACTAATAATCAATCGATTAATTAAAAGAGGAGCTTTGTTTTGTAAACAAGTGAACAAAACCGGGAGAGTGGTCATTGATTCCACTGCTCATGAGCAATGCAGCATCATTTTCATTGATGCACTGATTCATTCATCCATTCGTCTTTTCCTGACATCAAATCAAATCTGGAATCGAAATTAAAAATCCATCCAATAGTAAATTGCAAATACGGTCTTTGCAGAAAATCATACATAATGGATAATATTTGAAAGCAACATAGGATGAAGTGCTGGTAAACCAGCTGACCGGTTCTAGAAACACAGACAGAGCGGACTGCGGTCCAGTGGTTATGGTGCACCATCTCCCAAAACCAGCCGAACTCGCACTAGGACACGCGCGAGACCGATACATTGAGCAGCGTCCTCGTTTGAGCGCATCAGGAAACTCGATAAAGGAGACGGTGACAAATCGCATAAATAATTAAAATGACCAGCTCCGATGTATTTCAAACATTGAAAAACAGATTGGTAACGTTACCTTTCCCAAAAGCTTTCCTTTACAGTACGATCTTCCCGTCTTTGCGTCAACCACCACCTGCGCGAGCTCCGTCTTAACGTGCTCTGATTTACTCCGGTTCGGCTTGGCGGGCGGTTGAGGCGCTTGAGACGGTTTGAACAAATCCGGATTCATCATTTTACAGGAAAGACGCTGCGCTGAGGTAAAACAAGCGGGATCCATTCATTAATATAGATCCTTCGCCCTAGAAAAGACACTCCTTATGTGAAGTCCCAGAGCCTGGCGAAGTTCTCTTGTCCTGTAAGTCAAACATGCCCGACGCCGCCGGAGTCCTGCAGTATATAAGCTCTCCGTGACGTCATGGGCATGGGCGGGGCGATAGACGGGGACGTCTGGAAAGAAACAACGTCATTGGCTGCTGGAGATTCAATCAAAGATCAGAGAGAAAGTGTTGCAGAAAAAGTGAATGAAAACCTAAGAACATCATCCAATCATGGTTGACGGGATTATGGACCTCCAGATGACTTGCACTGGCTGCTTTAATGACAGTGTTTCTTTTTTCTTCTGTTTAGGGTTTGCGCACTAGACGACATGTCACATGCCATTAAAGGGTTTTAATGTGAACATTTGTTTAGCATTATCAAATCTGCTTTACATTATTTCATAATAAATAATGATTTATTATGAAATAATGTCAATTAATGAGATTAATTCATTGTAAAAACACAATATACAGATGCCCACCATGAGTTACACTTTATCACATTGTACATAATACATTTTATCATACTGTATCGTTATGTATCATTCAGAGTTGAATCAGACATAATGTGGATAAAGCCAAATTACGTCATTGTGGAATATACATCTGTATAGAACTGAACTGAGAAACTTGTGGTTTCATGAGCCCCCTTGTGGCTCAACAAATAAAGTACGGGGACTTTTTTTTTTTTTGCACATAATGTTCTTTAGATTAGAAAATGATTCTGTGACCGAAATTATAATCGACAAACACTAATTCACTGTTTAGTTTAGTTCCATTCATACATTTTAATAATATTGCATCACAGCAATTTTATGAACATGGGTCTTTTTAGGCACTTAAATAAATAAATATAAACACTCCTTATGTATATAACAAAACTTATGTATATCCTGTTTTCATACACCTCCTTGTGGATTGATAGGAAAACTACAGGGACTATATATTGTACATAAAAAAAACACATTTATTTATACAATTATATTATCTAAAAAAGGGTTTTGAGACTGTATTAAAATAGTTTTCTTTATTTTTTTTTAGTTTAGATTTATTTAGTTTAGATACTCTGTTTTCTCTCCATGATGATGATAATAATATTGCATGACAGCAATATTTAATTTTATGACCAGAAGCAATAAATGACATTGACATTCTTTTATTTTCATTTTCCACAGTTAAGGTACATGGTCTTAAGTGCAAGAATAACACTGACTGAAAATTCACAGAACATTTGTTTACCTGAATACATATGGAACAACTTACAATTATCAACGTAGTCAAAATTACAGTGGGAAGGGAAATGCTTCATGAAACAAAACTTTCAATAACAGCTGCATTTAACAGGAAAAAAAGTACAAAAATACATAAACTAATCTGAATAAATTGGAATGGCATGTATGCAGCAGTTGAATTTGGGTGCTTCACTGTAAAAGCAGATCAGTAAGCTGGCTTAGAAGTCAAAGTCATCTGCTTTGGCCTTCTTCTCCTGAGACTCAACCCAGGCCTTGTTGATAGTGCGTTTCATCTCGTCATCTCCATCCGTGTAGATCTTCTTCAGGACGCTCATCAGCCCCTCGCTTGGATCAGCATTCGCATTCAAGTTGGGTTTGCTGAAACAGACAGGTTACAATTCAATTAGCTTTTTTGACTTATAAACATAATTTTCAGAACAAAATTTAATATGATGCTTATGATGTTACCCTGATAATAGTGCATTATGCAGTCAAATATATTTTTAAATGTATACTTTTATCATCTTCATTTTTTATGCATAAATCTGCACCATTGAATTTAAATTTTGCTTTAATATACGGTTTTTAAAAGTACAACCAATAGAAAATGAAAGTGTGTGCATTTTACTCACTCTTTCTCCTTAGACTGTTTTTCTACTTGTGTCAAGCAGTCCCACTTTTTTGTTGACTTCTTCTTGCACATAATAAGGACCATGTCTGTTTTTATCTGTAAACAAATGAAGTGCGGCCTCTTTATCTATACAATTTTACAAATCAATTTGACAACAAAATATACAATAACATAAAGAAAGTGACATACCTTTTTACTACTCTCTGCTACAATAATGGGATATAAAAGGTTGTTGACTGTCATTTGATGGTTCTTCCCATCCAGATCTTTGACTAGAACATTGAAACCTCTGTGAAAACAGAAAAGAAGGACGTTCAGACCATTATGCTGCCCATATATTTTAGTTGAAAGGACCTTCATATGCATAAGCAAATGTATGACACACACACACACACACACACACACACAATAACAAATTTCTCCCTAACTAAATATTGAAAGCATCAAAAAAAATAAGCAATATTCCACCATTTTACCATAATAAAAATGATAAACTAAAATTAAGCAATATTCAGTGCGAGACCACACCTCTCTGTGAAGTTGGCCTCAACATTTTCAGCTGGAATAGTATGTACTCCTTTAAGTGTGATGTAGATTTTGACGAATTTGTCAGACTGGTCCCATCCTAAGAGAGTGAGACAAACAATAACAGGTGTATTAGACCATACATATGATTGTGGAATAGCCTATGCCTATTATTATGAGTTATGAACGCACCATAATGATTAATTTTAACTGTGTATCCTTTGAGTGTTGTGTCCGTTTTGTCTCCAGAGTCTTTCTTGGCTTGCTGCAGTTTCTGCTGTCGTTTCTGTGCCAGCTCTTTCTCTATCTTCTTCTGCTCTTGCGTTAACACACCCCGCAGGCGCTGGCGTTCACATTTCTCCAGCAGACTCGTGATCTCTTTAAAATCACTCTCAAGACCGGCGATCTAATGACACAAAGTCAAATCTGAGATCAAGTAAAGAAGCTTGTTTACATGTTCATTACAGCAGAGGTGAGATCAGCAAGCAGCTATCCTCTCACAGCCAAGTGATGCTTAATTCACCCAATGTGTATATTGTCCTATAAAACATCCTAGTAAAACATGAGTTTCATTCACACTCATAAGCTTCTTTATACTAGTGTACGGAGCTTTATAGTAGCCTACAATGAAAACGAACTAAAATTAATAACACACACGCACAAAATTAATAACACACACGCACAAACAGTCCATTATACCAGTTCATTGAGGTCCATCGCTGTCCTGAAGAAACCTTAGAAAACTACCTTCTGCAGTTTCTAATTGAAGTGATGAAAATAAACTTTGCTTTCAGTCAAGGGCGCTGCGTGTCCGCTGATATGCATTAAGCGTAGTTTCTAGAAGGATTCTTGCTTCCGCGTTAAGTAATGTCAAAATAAAAGTCCTCATTTTAGTGACCTTTGATAAATGACCACGCTTCTAAATAATTCTTACAAAAACCAAATATTCATAATCATAATTCATTACATTACATATAGGGTAAACTGATTCTCAACGTAATAAAATACAAAAAGATATACTAAATTAAAAAATTTAAATGTACTCATAACTTTCAAGATGTATTACAGCAACCAGAAAATATTCTAATATACTAAAAACATTTACTTGTTAACAAGTAAAAAGTACTAGTTTACACTTGCTTAATGTAAGGAGTGCTCATTTGCCAATGCACAAATAAGGTTAGATACCAGTAACCTAAAATCAAAAAAAAAAAAAATCACAAAACATGAAAGTAGCACATTACACCTTTTTTATTGTATCTACAATAAAATAACTTATATAATTTGCCATCAGTAGAAGACAAAAAAAAAATTGAATGTGAAATCAATTTAATAGAAAAAAATACATTTGAGCAGGTGCTTGTTGGTTTTGCAGCTCTGCGTCTTTGCATTTTATGCAAGAATATATTTTATTACAAGGTTTTAGAATAGAACACTTATACAATCCCATGGCTGATCACCACATTGATCTCTGTATTCCAGACATCATGTTGTGGTCCGCTAAATGACGAAAAACAATGCGACTAAGACGCCACCTGCGCTTCACTCCACGTGGACGAGATGTCATCACACACCTGTTGCGAATGCGCACGGGACAACTGTCTCGAGGCAGTGCGGCTATCTCTTTATCAGCTATCTCCTGTGGAAACAAACATGAGACACATGGCCTGTATTATTACTAGTTTCAGAGCAATATTTTGACATTTAATTCATTCGTTCATTCATTACAAGTCGAAATAAAGGTTACTGTTTAAAATCCTAAAAAAAAAAAAAAGCCAAACATGTACATGGAAAACAACCTAAATATATAAACTTCCGTTGAATGGAAACGGCAAGACTTTGAACGTACCTGTAGCTCTTTTGGCAAAACAGTATTCTTCCTAATGGCATTGATGCGCAGTCTTGTATCTGCATATTCAAATGCCATTTGTCTCCTTTTCACATCCCGTACCATTCTCCAGTCAACATAGTAGCTCCTGACCTGCTCCATCACTCCAAGTGAACTTCTGCAGGCCTGAAGAACACCAGACGAGATTTTACATTTGGATATGTGTGTTTTTGAAATACACCAAGTCAAAAACCCAAACAAATGACAAAAAATACAAATGACAAAATTTAGTCTATTTGGGAGACGTAAACTATAAATGTCACCATCATGTCTTCGAACATGTTACAGTGTCTTAACGTGATCGCAATCTAAATACCATTCAAACACAAATACAATGCATTCAAAGTTCTAACAGACTTTGAATTTACAAATCTGAATGAATTTACCTGTCTACAAAACGGCACGGACGACTGCAGAAAACCCATCCCCGTGGAGACGAGCTTCATTGCCGCCATATTTATCCAGCACTAACCTCGATGGTGGCTTTGAAGGGTAAGAATTGAGTTTACTATATCGTTACTGCCATCTACTGGTCATATTAAATGTTCATTCAAGCGTTTGGGTTTTGTCCTCACTCCTAATCAAAACAGTAGTAGACAATTTTATACTTTGTTATACAACAAGTTATACTTTGTTGTTGTACGATATAGCGGACAATATTGCCGACAACTGGCTGCCTTTGGATGATTGTCACGGCGAATATAGACTGCGATTCGCTTTTGAAAAGTCCACAGAGGATTGTAGCTCTGAGCATGTATTATCACCAGCCATGAAATAAGTTGTGTACAAAACAGATTCGTAAGGCACAATAATCAGTAAACAAATCAGAAAATATGAAGAGAAGTAATCCACATAAAATAGTTTGTGTGTAATTGCAGTACATTACCAGATAGTGGCAGAATGTCACTACTAAGTAGGCTACTAATTCAACAACACCAGAATCCCTGGATATATTACATAAAAACTTGGTTATTATACGTCAAAGGATTAAACTAACAAAACGTGCTTTAAATGTAGTACACTTTGACAAAATCTGTATGATCTTTTGGGGTTGGGGGTTGGGGTTTCACCTAAAAGTATTTTATTGTGTTTGTTTGCTTGTTTTGATTTTATAATAAATAAAAACAAAACAAGTAGATTGAATAGAAAAAGAATAGGGAATGCTAGTGTTAGAGGGTCATTTTTAAATGTCAGTTGAACAGAAAAAGAATAGATAATGCTTGTGTTAGAAGGTCATTATTTATAATAAATAAAATGAAAACAAGTAGAAAGAAAGAACAGAGAATGCTAGTGTTAAAGGCTCCTTTTTTATTTTTAAATAAAACAAGCAGATAAAATTAGAGTTAGCATTATAATAGAGAGTGCTAGAGTTAAGATGAAAGAGATTTGTTTTCAGCTGTTTCTTAAAAATGATTAAGGACTCAGCTGCTTGGATTGAGTTGGGCAGGTCATTCCACCAGGAGGGAACAGTTAATGTAAAAGTCCATGAAAGTTTTGTCATAGGTAGAATGCAAAATGTTTCAATACAAGCATTTCAGTCAAATGTAATTTATGCAATATTTCAAACCTTTAACCCACTTGGGAAAAACGCGGACTTGGCAACCCTGCATCCAAGAAGAACTACCGGAGTCAGATTTGACTGATCTCAGGTCAAGAATAAGGAGAAATGACTGACAAGACCATGCTGGAGTATTTGCTGCTCAACAGATCCTGAGCTCATTGACAAATATCTGATCTTGTAAGATGTGCTCCCTTTACACAGATGTGATCGCGAAATCAAAAGTGAACAGTGCGAACGCTTATTCAAAAGGGATTTAAATACGCCACATACTGAGAGCGGCTCCCTGATGCGGCAAAATTATATACAATATTAGAATGTTTAAAGGAGTGGACACGAAAATCGCGGGAGCGAAACACATGTTGCGGGAGCAGGCGGCAATGGTCAGAGATTCAGCGGGAGTGGGATTAAGAA